TTTTCCTTTTTGTGTATGACCGCGTTATCCTTGTTGAGGCTCCGGATCTCGTGTTTTCGACAGATATGCCATTATTATATAAACTTCTCGAGAAAACAAATATTTAACAGCAATAAGGGGGTTGAAGACTGAATGTAGTAAAAGGACAGAATATATGGGGGAAGACAGTTTATGTTGGCTCACCTTCAGACATCTGTCATTTGCTCCCCTTCTCTTGACCAACGAGTTTACCGTAAGCCCTAGGTGTGTATGTAGAACCTGTTACCTGGGAAATGACCTCCAAATAGAACCAATAGCGAGGGCAATTCGGTAATTGAAACACCCAAGAACCACTGACAGGAGGCAGATTGGTCAATTCAGTAGTGTGCCGCTCAGTGTAACTCCCAGATCTTGTTCCATGTTACGTGACAGATATTTATTTCACCCAGAGTAAGAGATGGGACTGTTGGAAACAGAAGCCAGCCATGCTTGTCTGGGGGAAACCCTCAGTAGCAGCTGCTTTTTGGAAAGACTCATGCCAAAGTATTAATTATGTTGATCAACATCCAGCGCATGTAATAAGTGGACAAACAGATAAATATTTCATTCTCAGGTTAAGAATTTAACGTAGGAGAAGCTAGTTCTCAGGCATGATGATCTCAGAGAAACCTAAAAGATTTTGGCAGTTTTGAATGGTACAGAAGGAGGACATTAAACTCTATCATGATGGCAAGTGTCTAAGAGTTATGAAAACAGCAGGAAAATATCACTGTACAGTGCAAGCACATCGTCCTGACTTAAGATCACTCCTAATCACTATTCTTTTTCCTCACCAGAGTGCCATCAACTCGGCGCAATCTTCGGTGTCTGCTCAACGAGTGGCTGACATGATTGACCAGCCTGCAAAATCCGACGCTTCATCAGATAAACTTCTGTTTTAACAGCAATTCTTATGTTCGCCGCCTTATTGACCAATAATAACTTGCTTCAAAGATTTCAGAAATAAGCAAGTATCCGTACAATCATTTAATCCAGGTGAATATCTAAGTCCAAGCATTTCTCACTCTTCAAGAGTCATCTTTCCCAGCAATTCGGATTAATAATACTGAAAATATTCGTTGTGGTGCAAGTAATTAAAGACTGGAAGAGCCGTCGTTCAACGGTCTTGGATTTTACACATGTGTGAAACCTCACAACTTCCATATTAGTGTGCAGCACTGTCAAGAAGATACATTGGCTGTCAATTGACTTCCATTAGATAGACTCACACGAGACAAGGTACTAAAGAAATCCGTTGCTTAGCCTTATTATGGATGCGCCACCATTGGGTAAAGTGACCTCTGGGATATGGTTGTTTATCCAGATTTCCGCCGCATTTGTGACGGACCAGAAATCGTAGACCGGTTATTGTACTTGAGGTTTCGTGTGTGGTGGCATTTAGGGTATTGGTAAGTGACTGAGTTGGTTGTGAAGCTGCTCAAGAGACAGGAAGTAGGGGGCAAGGCAGTCGAACACTTCTGACATCAGTTTCCAATATTACGTACGAAGTAGGATTTTCAGTAAGTTGATACTTTTTGATCGGATTAAAGCTTAGGATTTCCTCGTTAGGTTGACACTGAAAAGAGAAAGGAAAATAATGTGCAAGGAGAAACTGGACAGTAGAACACCACGTAAAACAAACTAGGGGGAGAGAAGTACTTGTCTTCTTGGAGTCATCCGAACTATATGTGAACTAATTTATGCATATAAGAATAACTGTTCTGTTTTTCCCACATGAAGTTTACGCGAGTTACTAGATAGGCAGTTTTTGTTGGTAAACTTAAAGAGAATACTAACTACGTAATTGTACTGCACAATCCAACTAGATAAACTAGTAATCAGACACCCCTTGTGAGTCCATTGATGTAAAAGGTACTTGAGATTTATAATAGCCTTACTCTATAAGTTTAGAGATCCTAGTGTGTTTTCGTCAGCCCAAAACGCGTAGATATTGCCTAGGCGAGCGATAGACTTATTATCTGCTAGGAGCTTATTAGGTGAGGAACAAAAGACAGATAATGAACACACAGTGCGCATTTCCCCAGGAAGTCTATTCCATAGGTGAGAGAACTTATAGAGGAGGAAACTTACTCGTAATTTGTTCCTGCAACACTCACTTTCAGTTAATGGATTGTGTTTACTTAAATATTGATTAGATGTTACAACTATTTTAATTTCCGGGCTACATGAGTGCATTCGCTCACGAAGTAATTTGTGGTAAGATATAAGATTAATTCTAAGCCGCCTCTTCTAGAGAGGTTCCAGTCCTAGAGTGTTGCCTTTGGAGATGTAGTCTAGGCTGCAGTCAGCCCCCAGTGTTCCTAATGTAAAGTGGCATTGCATCCCTTCAGTTTTTCCCTTGTCGCTTATACGAAGGCCACTTAGGATAAATAGGCAGTATCCTAAGGTTGGACGGATGCTCACTGTGCGGAGTAGGCCCCTTGATTCAGTGCTACGGAAGTTATGGGTGATGCGTCCAAGGAGTCTATGTGACTAAGGTATGATACAGGCCGTTTGTTCGGAGAATGTTAAGTCACTGGACCATCTAAGGCCAAGATCTAGCACTGAAGGGTGTCCAGGTTGCTTTTGTCTACATGCTTCGAGAGATACTTTTAGGTCATTGCTGCCAATGCTAAGCCAACCACATTCACCACTGTTGAACTTGGAATGGGGCTTGTCACACCGTTTAGCAACTTCACCTAATTCTTGTTGTGCAGCAAATAGCCTGTTGCTTAGTTCATGGGTGCGACCTGAGTATACAACCTTAAAGTCATCAGCTTACTGGAATGTTTCCCCTGCAGTGAAGCACTTGCACATACTATTATTATTAATATAAGTTATGAACAACAAAGGCTCGAGGGCACTACCCTGTACTACTCCACTGGTTATAAGCCTGGGTTTAGACAGCATAGGATTTACTTTGATGATTTGAATACGATCACTAAGAAATGATTTCAGCCAGTGAAGTAAAGGGTCATGGATATCAATCGATTGTGGCTTATCAAAGAGAATAGTGTGTGGCACCTTGTCAAATGTCTTTGATATACCAAAGAATAGAATAATTACGATTTTACGTGCCTCGCTGCTACTAGTGATAAGGTTGAAGAAATCGAAATGGCAAGTAACGCAAGACCTGTTTTTAATGAAACCGTGCCGAGATTTCCTAGTGAGGTCTTCCCTCAGTAGGTAGTCAGGGATGCTGTTCTTAATCCCTTTTTCCACAATTCGGAAGACGACTGGCGTCATGCTGATAGGCCTGTAGTTACTAGCATTCGCCTTGTCACCGAACGTGTAGCGAGAAACTATGAAGCTAGTTCTCCACTCGATAGGATACTCCCCACTTTCCACTGGTAGTGTAAATATCTTAAGCAAGAACGCCGGCATATCATCACCACCATTTCTGAGGACTATTGAGCTTAAGCCATCTGCTCCTATCATAACTTTTAACGGGGTTATCCCACCTGCACCCCATAAACACTAACTTAGCAGCTACTTACAGTGTGGGAACGAGTTACATCACAGCTAGCCTGTTTTCCCAGCTGTCTCATTTAACCTGTGCATACGTTAACACCTGAAGAAACACGCATTCCCGAACCTGTGCGCGAGCACCCTTTTCCTCTCAGTGGGTTTGCAGTCACCGGAGTGTACAGCCTGCCTAAACTTTTACTGCTCTGTCTGTCGACAGCTCCGAGAAGAGGCTAGTGACGCCCAGTTTGCGCTCATCCAGCTGGGATGCGGATAAGGTTGATACGACCAACTAGTTCAACAGACTCCATAAAGGTCATTCACATATTGAATCTTTTGTACTATTAGTATCACCACGAACATGACTTATACTCATACTTTGAGACTTCTCTTCCAGTTACAACATTGCTATTTCTACTCCCATAACCCGTCCTACAATCTTACTTGTTCTTCCTCTTCCCTCCAACTCAATGGTCTCACCGTAACTGTTCAGGTTGTTTTTGCCACTGTTATCTCCCCTGAATTTACCTAGGTTTCTCCTATGCTTTCGTTCTGCATTTTTCCAACTTGTTTCATCATACCTCTCACTTGATTTCACCGGGAATTTTTTCTTCCTTTCTATTTTCCTCTTACAATCATCCCCAAACAACCTTTTGGTGATAAGACACTTTACAAATCCACCCGAACGACAGTCCTTGGAAAAGTCATACAATCCCTAGAAGTTTAATCAACCCCCCAGTCGCCTGTGGGGCTGATTGGCGCGGTTAACCAAAACTGCAGCAGATGAGCTGGTAGGCCTACTGCATCGGAATCCACCAGAGGCCTGGAACCTATTCGGAAGACCTGGAAGCGAGCGCGAAGAAATCAGTTTGTTTACACTAACCTATAAAGAGATATTGGATATTGGTAATAGTTGGTCACTATCTCCAAAACTGCGAGCAAATAAACTGAAAAGACTTTCGCGATCATCATAAGGGTATTGTTTTAAAAAAAACCAAGCCCCAAGAACTAGAAGTAAGAGTTCAAAAACTGCAACTTTTCTGAACTCACACTATTGATGCTGGATGTTATGGCATGTTAGATATAGGAGCTCTGACCTTGACGACGGTTGGGTTTTTTGCTATTTTGCGTTACGGATGTTATCAGTGTTATGTAGGAGAGTATCTGTGATTAATCGTGTGTTGAGATCTGGAAATACTTACAAATGTAATCATTTCAGATCTAAACATAATACTAACCCGACAAGACGTAGTTCATATCTCTTGCTCACTATTGGAACAGGATGTTTTGTATCTCTTGGTGTAAAGTTAAAACATGATTTCCACATCCCATCTGTACTTTGTGAAACATATGTAACTAAGTCAAGCAAGATAAAATACACGGAAAACGATGGAATAATACAGTATCTTGCAACATTGATATCAACTGATTGTATATACTTATTCGGTGCTATACTAGTAAGGGTTTTCGAAGTCAAACTTTTTACTTCTAGGGTGCTTTTCTCGCTGCTGTCATGAATGTCTACATACCTCTCTGTCTTGGGGATTTCGTTAACGCTCTATCAAAGTGTACGGCATCACGAAGGATTCATTTCAGCTGTTTGTGTCCCTACGCTTAGACTATGTTCTTCCTATATTCTACAGGTAGCGTTATTATTTGAATGTATAATCTCTTGTCCTTTTTAATGCCTGGTTCTATTTCTTGTAGCTGACTGTGAGTTATTATATGCCAACATATGTGGGTAGGTCAGTCACCGTTACTTGAGTAATTCAGCGTAAAATATATTTAGTCTTAAGTTGATCACAGTGGCGCTGATATTTAATTTATTTTTCATGTTTAAAGTCTCAGATGTTTTTATCAACCTTCATCTGTTTATCTTCCCAACTCATTTTTCTACCGTAACATCCGTTTTCTACCCGCTTTGCATTTTGCCCTGAAGTATCACAACTTAAGGTGGTGGTTCTGAGTTCTGCGTTGATTTACTTACCTACCATAAGACAACAGTCAGTTACTATCGGCTTTTCATTTTAAACGGATGCGAAGCCAATTGTTAAGGGTTTTTAATTAAATTTAAAGACAAGAGATATTGAGTTATATGTAGAATAGTAGTAATGATATCAAAGGTAAGGTATTTATTCACATATGAAAACTAAACATTAAAGTATATTTCGATCACCTACCTGTATAAGTGAACTAAACTAGTAAGAAGCAAGGAAGAATGAACATACATAACGTTGTAAATTGAAGTTTAACGAATTTCACCTTTCTTTGTATGAATGTACAACCACATCACATGATAAGCAAGTTACCTATGCAGCAAACACGAATTTAAGTGGTCGACTTTTTACTTCAGGGGATGAGCTGTGTTTAACACGGTTGTAGCCACTCATAAATAACCCTCCCATTAAAATCTCGTCTATCCTCCTATTTGCCGATGACGTCAAAATGTGGAGGACTACAGGCAAGGAAGAGGATCGTAGGATACTTCAAAACGACCTGTTGCAGCTGTAGTGCTGGTCAGCTGCAAACGGTTTAAACTTAAACCTAGAGAAATTTAAGATAATGGGTCTCCGCACACCAGAGGCGATAAAAAAAGCTACACTCTCAATAAGTGTGCAGTTACTAAGGTATCCACAGATAGGGACCTAGGACTAAACCTTTCTGACACACTGGATACTACTGACAATTATAAGGGAATGGTAGCAAAGGTGAATGGTATCACGCATTTTCTAAGAAGGCAGTTTGAATCTTTAAACCCAGAGTTACCCCTCATGGTATCTAAAACCTATGTTAGACCACACCTAGAGGTGTTCAGCACGTAGTCTCCCCACTACTAAAGAGACGCAAACACTCGAGAACGTACAGAGAAGAGCGACAAAGTCGGTTGTCTGACTAACAGGCAAAACATATGCACAACGCCCTAGACAACTCAACGTGTTCACATTAAGCTATCGAAGGGAACGAGGTGACCTGATAACAGCCTACAAGATCATTCACCAAGTGGACCACCCAAATAGATCAACGACTATTAGATAATTACATGAGTGCAAATGGCTTACCACGAACATCTTTTGGCAGCAGCTGATGATATGCCCTTCCATCCTCGTATTCCTTAACCATAGTGTCTGCAATGAGACGCATACCTTGTCCATATTTTTACCAGTAACACTTATCTTTCCATAAGTACTATTCACTCCTCTTTCCGTTTCCCACTCACCATATTTCTAGCATTTTTAAAGTAACGCTTAATACTTACTTGGAAGTGCTTACAAAATCAGGTACTGCAAAAGGTTAATTGATCTTATCAGTAGCTCCGTTGCCCTCACCCCCCCCCCCAAAGCAAACCAAGCTACAATTTGCAAGAAAAATACCTTCAAATAAACAGTAACTACCTTTAAAGCTATAAGCAGTGAAGACGAGAAGATTTCTGTGACCACCGAAGCAGTACAACCGAATAAAAGGAACCGAGCTTCAAGACCTAGAAGTGAGAGCTCATGACTACGAGTTCCCTCTGCTCGCACTATTGATTTTGGATGTTGGGTGTTGGAACTGGTTTCAGACTCCTGACCTCATTAAAGACTCCCAAATTAAGCTTTCAAGTCCTGATATAGGAGTGGTACACATATTTGTTACATTCCCCCTGTTTATGGTATCGCATTAAAACTGTAAAGAAGAACCACTGACTGTCTGTTTGCTGCTTGATGGACTAATTCTCAAGCTTTACGCTGTGAAATTTGCTGGTCTTTACCTAACATCCAACTTCATAAATCTGACGTTTATTTTTACTTTTAATTCTTAAATTCGCCTTTAAAGGTTCATAAAATTAGTTTAAAGGCAACAGCAACCTCTTGAAAGCTTATTGACGCCTATGTCACACTTCGGGAGGTTTAATGTCATGCAGTCGCATGGTTGAATATATATTTACCGTGTGCATTATTTTGGACAACTAAAAGCAGTCGGAAACCTAAACGACCCCCCCAAAAAAAATTGCTAAAAAACAGTATCTGTTCCAGTTTCCCTTTCATTTCTGTATTAAAAATAAAAAATTGGTTACTCGTCAAATGATGCGTTCAAGGTCATCTCAAAGTTACCCAAGGATGGCGAAATTTCTTAGTTTAACCTACGTTTAGCTCATTTATTCACTAGGAATAGATACAGAAGTATTTGAGGTTGTTAAAAAGTTTAGGGAATAAGATGTGGTTGGTTGTAGTGTCTATCCTTATTACTAAGCGGACTTTCACACAGTAGGCTATGAGTCATGCTGAATCTTTAAGAAAGTATGTAAGGGATAAAAGTTGAGTGCCTATGGTAATGGACCACAGCTGTAAACTCATTAATATTTCATCACTTGTGCACTTTTACTTTCAGCTTATCCTACTGTTTTCAGATGAAGTTCGCAGCTTATGGATTTAATAGGATAATGTGTAGCTTTGGTTAGTAGTTCAGTTACAATTAATTTTCCTTTAAATTAATTAAACTTAGTATTCATGTGACTAGTAAGGAACTGACACTATCAGTCACGAAACCGGTAATGTTATTTTCTCAGCATTCTCACTGATATATTTGTGATGTCTCAGGAAAACATCTGACCTGAGTATCGTTGGTATTCAACTACTGCTTTCCTTAGTGTGATTCTAAATATGGTAGACCTGGTCTCTCGGCTATTGATGTAAGCTGATTCTGAAAGTGGTTTCTGCATTTTAAGGTATTAGTATCAGAGCTGCTAATACTTTGTTCATCAGTTATTCAATAAAGTGCCGCAAAATATCATGTAACTCACCAAGCTAATGCCTGCAGGTCCATATTTTACCCTTATGATTTCTTATTTTATATCCGATATGTCGTTTATATCAGCTAGTTCTTGTGAACCAAGTAACTTTAACAAATAGAAAACAGACGTCAAACGACAGACTTCTCAATTGTCCATTTCTGAAGGGAACCTATATCATCTTTTTATCTTACACCAGTTACGCATAATAGGTTGTTAACTGAATAGCGTTGAACACCAACTCGTAAATATGATCAGATCAAGACGTGGCTTCAGCCGATGAAGTCCCTGACTGCTGGTCTAGGTCGTGTAGGGAAATGTAGATTGCCTAGCTGGGACCCCGAGACAATAGGAACCAGTGATTGAGAACACTTGGTGACATGGCGGAAAGTCGGTCACAATGGCGCAGATGTATTCACCTATTGACGTCTTCTAAAACTTTAATACTCGCAGTAATCTCCATATTCAAACTGTTTATTCTGTCACCCAACTTTATCTACTTTAATATCCCTCTTTCTATCCACTTGTTCTTTGTTTACTGCTGTGGACTGTGGCAACTTGAGGTAATTCACTTGTTTGTGAGGTTATACGTCGATTTCGTCTATCAGTCTATATGTTTGCCATGAAAACATTCTACACATTAGTTTCTAATTCTTAACAAATTTCGCAGGTTAATGAGCATATATCTAGTTGTTTTAAAACTTATTTCACCGGTAGTGTAGACTTTTTTAATTTATTTTTACTGCCGTCTACTTTATTTCTTTTTCTCATCTTGTTTTATCAGTCTTTATCCACTTTCTTGTACATTGGACTTTTGGGATCTGTTGGAGAACGTATGGCTCGACGTATGCGTATGCAACTCTTTGAGAAGTTGGTCTATCAAGATGTGGCCTATTTCGATGTGCATAGTTCTGGAAAACTTGTAGAAATGTAAGTTATTTAGTTGGATTTTATGTAATCGAATTTTTACCAATCGATCCAAATGTTAGCATGTTATTCATACAATTCAGAGGTGCTGCGTTTAATTTTTAGAGAGTCTATGCATCATTACGGTTTTATTGGAGTAAAGTGGAAAACCTGGTCAGTTATCCATGTTTTGAGTCGATGTATGATTCCGTGATCTGAACAGTTGATGCTTAGCCGTTGTTTCACCGATCAAAACTAGATAATTTCATCTAGGCAGCAAGATTTTCTAATGTGGTTACCGTGCCTTACTCAACCTAGTATGTGAATATAGTCATTTGACTGTAGACATCTTTTGCCGACTTCCTTGTAATCCTTTTTTGTTTACCGTTTCTTTCTAGCATTGGATCAGACGTTCAAAACTTTAAAAGTTCGTTCAAACAGTGTATTTCACAGGGTTTGCGTAATTGTATTCAAGTGAGTTCCTGTATGAATACTTGCATACGTCATGAGTGTTTGTAGTAGGTGACCATTTTCTGAATAAAAGTAATATAAGTAGGCGTTTCGTTTCATCCCAAGTAACTGTCATAATAACTTTTAATGAATACAGTACTGTTGATTTTCCATAAAAATGAAAATATAGGTTTGTAGAGAGAAAGTATCTCGCCTCTTAGGAAAACTTGTGAATTTCGAAGGCTTATATATGTTCCATTTTATAGTCTTAGCTAAAAATATCTCGGTGACTTTCAACCGGTGGGTCACGGGTTCGAAACCCGCTTTGTCTACCGTGGTTTAGGCAGCCAGGTAGTATCACTAGCCTTCACACAATAGGTGTGGATCATTGCTTAGTGGATAAACGTGCATAAAGTTATTTAGTGTGTTTCATTCCTTTCGCTTGTTGGATTCATCATCTTGAGGAAGCATATCCCCTCGAAACTCAAACCTGCATCTCACTAAATTACTGAAGTCATAAAAAGGAGATCTAGTTAAAGCATGGTTTTCTGCCGCTTGACTCATTGGAAAATTAATGGATGAACTTTGATGCACACTAAGAACGTGATATCTACATTAGTTACAACTCGGTGACCAACTTATGTGCACCATCGTACACGAGTTGCAGTCCTATTTCACTCAATAAACGTACGAAAAGCAGTTAATGATTTACCTGTTAGTTAGTCTTCCTGGCGTTTCCTAGTTTTGAGCTTCGATATTAATTGGATGCAGTCACTCGGTAATTTTAGTCTTGTGAAGGGTTTTTGATTTACTATATCTTATTATTTTGGTTTATATAAGTTAATCATCGTTCAGTCATTCAGAACTTCTGTGATAGTGGTAATCATATCAAATCAGAGAGACAAGCATCAGTGGCATTGGATCTAATCTAATCATACTTGAATCTGTGGCTGATTGACTTAAGCACTCGACTCCCAATCACTGGGTTGAGTGCTTAAATCACAATCCTTCGAATCCGACCTGGTAATTCAATGGTGTTGTAAACTATTACCTGTAAATTTTAACCCATAGCCCCTAATACATAGATCTATACTTCCTACGTAAATGTATTACATTGAAAATATATTCAGCATAAATATTTGTCTTCACATTTTGAAAAGCTGGGTTAAAAGGGCTGATATTAGCATGTCACTGAAAAGGCTCTATAATCAATGGTTTTTGGCTTGGAGTAAGCTTCTACTATAATGTCTCATACAGTCTTTAAGTGGTATAGACTGACAAACAGTTTACGCAATGATCGTGAGTGATGGCGGTTAACGAAGGCTAAAGTGGTTGAAAAGACAACAGTGGTATGTAATTAGGGTGCCATCAAATCGGTAACCCAGAGGCTGCTGGTTAGAAACTTGCCAGATTTGGGTTTTCATTTCACCTTCAATCATCACCTAGTATCAATTATTATTTCCACACACTGACTAATTCATTGCCGATTACACGTGTGGTCAAATTGTCCGAGATTTATTTCACGAATGCACCGCATATCTCGGATAAGTAGACAAACACGCGGACAAAGTCGGCGTAGAACCTCACATACAAGCGCTTTGGTTCAACTCCCCACTTTTCACAGCAGTACACAAATAAAAGATGCATAGAAAAAGAGTGATATCAAAATGTCCGAAGATGTATCGGAGAAGAAAGCATTTGAAAATGAAGGTTGTAAAAAACATTCAAGCTTTAGTAGACATCGGTGAGTGAATACATCTGCCCCATTGTGACAGGTGTTCAGCCATGTCACTAAGAGTTTTCAACCATTTATTCCCATCGTCTCAGCGACCCCAGCCAAAATAGTAGTCTACATCTCCCAACTTGGCTCACAAAAGCATTCAAGGAATTCATGCACTAGTGCCATGTCTTGGTTGGGTCCCCCTGAACCCTCCTCTTCCAACCTAATTCAACTCCCCATAGCATCCATATCACATCAAGGTAGACGATGGCTCCGCATGCACATTACATGTTCAAGCCATCTCAGTCGACTAAGGTTCACAATTTCATCAATCGAGTTGCCTGTCTTGCCTTGTACCCTTTTTCTGACCTCAACATTGCTCACATGGTCATTCCACCAAACGCAAGCAACTCTACGAAAACGCCTATGATTAAAACGGTGTAACCACTTCATATCTTCTACTTTAAAGGACTATGTCTCAGTCGTATAACGCGAAGGTTCGGACCTCAGTGCACTATACACGTCCTTTTGCAGATAGCTGGATATCTCGTCAGTCGGCCTTATGTATCCGAGCTGAGGTTTCGTCATCAACGAGTGGGTTCTCGCTGATACAAGTCCCCAAGCAGGTGTAGTGGTCGACACATTCCACCATTTCTATCTCTATTGTTAAACTGGGAGTGGTTACAGACCAGTCCTGGAGCATCATCTTACATTCGACAGGCGAAAGACGCATGCCAAATGTACGCCGATTTTAGCTCAACGTGTTCAGAAGACCGTGCATTTTGTCAGAATCTTCATCTAGCAAGACAATACTGTGTGTCTACTCCAAGTCAACCAGACGAACTCTAGGATGTAGGTCACTTCCTTTGATAAATTACACCTCTTTATTTTTTTGTCAAAATTTATGAAGCGAACTGACTGTCTTAAATTTTCAAAGCGAAAACTCCAACCAAAAACTATTATAAGGTTGAATAATCTTAGTTGATATAGTTGTGTTCACTCTACAATGGTGATATTAGCGTGTTATGTAAATTGTAAATTTAGTCATTATGAATATTGCTTATAACCACCTCATCGTAGAGTATGACTTGCATCTTTCACTTAGCTCCTGTTACAAAGCAAATGTTGTTTATGGACAAGATTATAGAATAATGATAGGCGATTGATTATCTGCTAAATATGCAAACGATAAAGCGTACCTTTCAGACGAGCGATTGATGAATGTTCAATTTATGACTCTTCGGACAATTGAGTATAGTGGTCAGTAGAATTGATAGATTTATCGTCTCTTCTGGTATCATTGCCTCATTTAATCCTAAAAAACTGCTGGCCACACACAGAATGAATGTACAGTGTACAGTTAATTTGGAGTAAGACAAAAGGTCACAAGACAGTCAATGACTACTTTACTATCCACCCATCATAGGAGTTTTGTTCTCTCACTGTAAGTAGTGGGTGTCCCTTTTTAATGATGATAATGGAGATGTTTTACTGAAAGGAAAACAAGCAGTTTCCATTAATATAAGTGTGAAACTAACCAATATGGTAGAATGTAATTCCATATTACATTTGTCTATTTAATATACAGCACACAGAGATACAATATTACTTACTTGGTGACATTTCAAGCATGAATTATTGCTCACATAATCATATCGATATAATCACGCAGTGTTCGACATCCCATTTTTATACTCCTGTCACCCACCTCATATTCCTTGTTTTGATCAGTAGTAACATCTTCCATATCTCTGATATACGCGTTGCAACATTCCTATTCCACATGTGTTGGCTAGGTGTTGATTGGATGAACAAAGATTCAGTAATCAATCTCTCCCTCTCTCCATCTAATTATATTGAACTCAAGTACAGTTGTTTTGTCCCACACAGTCTATTGTGTGGTTTTGTGTTAATGCATGCATTGCGATAGCTGAGTTACTTCTAGATGATTGATCCTATTGGGTCTATTATTCTCTATTTGGCTAGATTCTGATGTTCCCACAATTTGATTGGCTCCGATCGGCTGATTTGACATAATCGACTCAAAACTTACTCATAGAACTAAGATATTGATTTATGAAGTCACATTAGTCGTACAGTTATGCCTGACCACTATACGTTTTAAGTTTCTGAATAAAGTGTGTAGACAAACAGAAGGAGTCGCAATGAAATTAATATCCCCAATCGTAACGGACTTCTTTATGGATAGTTTGGAAGACATGGCTTTACGAACATTTGATCCTACACCTGAGATATAGTAGTTACATGTGAATGACTACACATTTATTGTGTTGAAATGGGAACATACCGACAGTTTTCTCACACATAAACTCAGCAGTAGGCACAATCCAATTCACTTACGAGGTGGAAAATGAAGGAGGAGAATTACTTACTTTGGATTGCAGAGCAAAACAAAGAGCAAACGGTAGTTTGGATGCTACCGTCCACAGGAAACCGACACATCTTAACAGGTATCTAGACTTCAACTCGTTTTATCTAGTGTCACTTGAGGCAGGTTTAGTCAAATTTCCATATAATGGGGCTAGAAAACCGAAAAATCAGTCCAAGGAATTAAAGAAGGAATTGAAACACATAAAAGATTACCTAACTAATAATTATCCTTTACAGTTCATTGAGAAATTCGTAAGAACACATCAGAAACGAAATGGTACCAATAATGCTACCAATACCAATAATAGCGACAATATAAGTAGAAAGGAGTTCAAAGCCTCTCTTGTGTTACCATTTAAGGAAGGAATATCAGACACTTTACGTAGTATTCTCAACAAGGCTGGTATTAAAAGCTACAAACTCACTCACAGATAAGCTTTGTCGGTTTAAGAATCCGATATATCCAATTGAGCTAAATAACCTAATCTGCGAGATTCCATGGAATGACTGTGAGGTCAAGTACATAGGTGAAACCAGTCGATGGGAGCCAATCAAATTGTGGGAACATCAGAATCTAGCCAAATAGAGAATAATAGACCCAATAGGATCAATCATCTAGAAGTAACTCAGCTATCGCAATGCATGCATTAACACAAAACCACACAATAGACTGTGTGGGACAAAACAACTGTACTTGAATTCAATATAATTAGATGGAGAGAGGGAGAGATTGATTACTGAATCTTTGTTCATCCAATCAACACCTAGCCAACACATGTGGAATAGGAATGTTGCAACGCGTATATCAGAGATATGGAAGATGTTACTACTGATCAAAACAAGGAATATGAGGTGGGTGACAGGAGTATAAAAATGGGATGTCGAATACTGTGTGATTATATCGATATGATTATGTGAGCAATAGTTCGTGCTTGAAATGTCATCAAGTAAATAATACTGTACCACATTATGTTGTGTATACCAAATAAATAAATCTAATGTGAAAACAGGCAGTCAACAGTGAAATACTGAAAGCGTCTTAGCATGTAGTAATGCCGCCTTTTTCGTAGAGATGTTTGTCTTTTGGTATACAAATGGGTTCATAGTGATTCAGGGAAATAACATTATTTTGGTTTTATTCCACAGCCTAATTAAAAAGCAGTTCTATGCATATCTTATTGCTGTCTTCACAGGTTGTTGGATCTGTATTTGCATTGCCAAGTATATCGCCTACTCCAACAGCTGCACTTATAGGCTGTTTACCATGTGTTTTCTTAATTGGAAGCTTAATGGGCACGGAACTTCGTCATCTCAGTCGAGAAGCTCAAGCACAGGTCAGTTCTTTCAATATTAACATCATCTTATGCTATAAATGTTATTAAGTCTTGTAATGATAAGACTTATTCATCGTAGAGTTGTGTGAGATGAGGTACAGGTGAACGCCTAAAGGAAAGCATCATAAAAGAGATTACATCAATTCGGACTCTTCCCACCTCATCTTGTTCATTTTATTCCCTGAAAAGTTCTCATCTAATTTAGAGAATATTCTCACTTATGTTTCCTGAGCATTTGAGATTCGTCGCTTTCTTGAGATTATTTGACAATTCATTGATTTCATTATTACTGGTCGGGAATGGAAGTGATCAGAAGCACCAAAAACTTAAAATTGTTTCCGGAAATTTTTGCGGATAGGGGAGAGGTTACTCTTTTTGTCATAAAAAAGAAATATTTATAGGATATCATTATAGTTTGTTGCAAAAGCATCGATCCAATCAGTGGAAGATTAACAAATAAATCTTATTGATATGAATTCAACTGTAGAAAGGAATAATCATAACTATATTTTACTCAACAACCTCGCACCAGTTAATAGCCGGTCCTGAGCCCGAATAAAGAGGGAAGGTTGCGCGTAGGGCTAGCAACCCTACCCCTGAAAACAAATCCAACCGCTACAGAAACTTCAAAGCACAAACGATATATAAAAAATAATAAAAACCTATTCCTCGCTGGAATCGGAGAGGCGAAATGACGCCGGTTGGTGAAAGCCATCGGGAAGTCAGTCGGCCGGTGTGTCTTCTCCTCTCTCGATGAAAGCGAGAGTAAGAATGAGGACATGGAATGTCCGCACCATGTATGAACTTATCAAGGCTGCCCAGATTGCAAAAGAGATGAGAAGATATAGCATAGAAGTGCTAGGAATCTGTAGATGGAATGGAAGTGAACTCTCCAAACGGTCAACTCGAGAGTCAATAATCTACTCCGGTCACCCAGATGACAACCACGAGCACAATGAGTTTTGGAGTGGCTATCATGATGTCCCGAAGAGCAGTGGGAACCAATCTCTTCGAGGATCAGGATCATGACAGCGAGATGGATTCAACTCAAAAGGAAGGAAATTCACAATCATACAATGCTACGCTACACTACGCACCTACAAACAATGCAGATGAAGCGAAGAAGGAGAAATTCTACAGATAACTGCAATCAGTACTGGACAAGACTCCACCCTAGATGGTGACATCTAAATTCATTCTAATGGGTGACATGAATGCCAAACTGGAAGCGGACAACACAGGAAGATAATTGATCATGGGTGGAGAAGCACTCGGTGAAACGAACGAGAGTGGAGAACTGTTTGTTCAACACTTAGAAGCTGACGCATGAAACTTCAAAGGGCATCTTCACCTCAGTCATCAGGAAAAAATGGGAGACATTGGGCAACATCCCTGAAGAAAACTGCTTGGAAGAACAATGGAACACTCTGAAAGAGACGTCGAAGGAAACCTGCATAACCGTGTTAGGAAGGAAGAAGAAGCAGGACAAGGAATGGATCTTTACGGATACATGGAAGCTGATAGAAGGGAGGAAGATGGTGAGACAGAAGACAAACCAGTTCAAGGATAAACAAAGAAAAGAAGAACTGAGAACAACTGATGAAACACTGGACAAAGAAGTGAAGAAGAGTGCGCGCAAAGACAAAAGACACTTCTAAGACACATTGGCAAGTGAAGCATAACAGGCTGCAGCTATGAGAGACAGAGAGCTGACAACATTATATAAAATAACCAGGTTACCATCTGGAAAGAGATCAACTCGGATGAAACCAATGAAAGATAGTGAAGAAAGTGAAGTTACCAAAGAGGAAAACAAACAAGACAATAGGATGACCTCTTCAAAAGGCTCTTGAATCGACCACCACCACTACCTGCAACTCATCCAGAAACACCACCGGCAACCGCAAAATTACCAGTGGACACAAGCCCTCCGAAAAATCCGAAGTGAAGTCCTGAACACCATAAAGTTGCTGAAATCCGGGAAACTAGCAGGACCAGTTGGAGTTCCTCCAGAAGCACTAAAAACAGACTCAGAGACGACAGCGGACATGCTCACACCACTGCTGCAGAAGGTTTTGAAGGAACGAGGGATACCTTTCGATTAGAAGAAGGGCTACCTTGTCAAACTCCAAAAGAAGGGTGACCTAAGTATTTGAAAGGACTGGCGCGGAATCACGCTCCTGTCCACCCCAATCAAAATATTAAGCCGCATCATCCTGGAGAGGTTAAAAGGTGCTCTGTATTCAAAATTACGACCGGAGCAGGATGGCTAGCTTCAGGAAGTACAAATCATGTGCGGACCAAATTGAAACGCTTTGCATCATCATAGAACAAAGTATAGAATGGCAGTCAACTCTCTACCTCAACTTCATCGACTTTGAAAAGACCCTTGACAGTGTCGACCGAGAAGTAATTTGGCAAGCAGTTGCTTCAATACTACGGTTTAGTGTCACAAACGTTTATCAATCTCATTCAACAACTATATGAAGACGCCACATACCAAGTAATTCACAATGGAAAACTCAGTGATGCTTTTGAAGTGAAGACAGGGAGGAGTAAGACAAGGCTTCCGCCTATTATCACTGATGATCTTCCTGATTGTGGTGGACTGGATCATACAAAAAGCAGTGAGGAGCTGTGAGAAGAGGGGGATACGCTGGCTGGACCGATGAAAAGACTCCAGAAGGAGATTTGGATTTCGCCGATGACTTGTGTCTAATGTCACACAAACTTGAAGATCTACAGGTGAAAACTAACAAGTTGATAGAAGAGGCAGGGCAGCGAAGATGGGACTTCAAGTGAATGTAGAGAAGACAGAGGTGATGAAGATACCCAACCAACAACAACTTTAACAACAAGCATCAATCACCATCGACGGGAGAAACCTAAAGGAAGTAGTATCTTTCACCCAGCTACCTAGGCAGCATCTTTTCAAGTACAGGCGGTGGCATCGACGAGGACGTCAAACCAGCCAGGATCGATAAAGCAAGACAGGCGTTGATTAACCTGAAACCAGTATGGAGATCTTCTGCACTCAGCATGTGGAACAAGATCCAGATATTCAACACTAATGTCAGTCAATTCAGTGCCCCTTTGTGATGGTTGAGAGACTTGGGGTGTCACGAAAAGTATTCCTAACAAACTATAGACATTCATCAACCGCTGCCGCCTACGCTCACCCGATACTAGCACTGAAGATCAGATGGTCAGAATAATAAGAATAAGCAACAAGGAACTCACTGTGGCTGGCTGGCAACGAACCAAAAAAGAACTTATCGCCCAACAAATATTCAGAAGAAAGTGGAGATGGATTGGGATTGTATTTCTTTATAAAGGTGAACAACGAACTACTCAATAGGAAATAAAGTTTGTGTAAATAGAGAAAATAGTTATCACAGATATGTTGATTTCTCCATGTCACAAGCATTTATTTTTATCAGAAGCTGAGGGGTGGGTAGCATATTTGTAATTAAAGCAAATGCATTTTCAGGCACTACACAGAACTGTGCATAGGAGGGAACGCATCTGCCAATAGATGTCGAGCACTTCGATCCAGTATAACAACAAGAAATTACAGGTGACAATAGGTACTAGTGACTGATACTTGTTACACAACAGGTGACTGTCGTACCTCAGAGGTCTAGTAAATAACGTTTTCACGTTTCAAGCGATGGATACTGGGTCCGAGTTTCAGTGGGAACACCATCATTCACTGGGTTTCAGGTACGTCCAGCTGATGAGCCCCATATAGGATGGAACGCTGGTCCTAGATTCCACTACTAACCACCAAGTAAACTTACAGCATAATGCTTTTGTTATTGAATTTAAGACGTTGACATTCTGCAGTTTGGTCACCCCTTTGTAAATGATTCCTTGCTGGCGATTGAAGCATTCGAGACAGTTCTAATTATTAGACTTCATCAGTACTGCATACTGCGAGGAAAACTGAGTTCCAACCTCTAGGCCCCACCACAACACAGACCTTTCCTCAACTTCTCTATCACCCAGACGTTTACTTCATCTGTCAAATAATGGTAGTCGATTATGCACACTGGTGTTTTTTTTGTATATGTGCAGTGTAAATATGTTGAACACAAATCGAACAGTAAGATGTTTGCTGAAGGTGTTTGGGAATACACTGCAAAAGCACTTCAGGCCAATTACTCTGTCAAAATAGAAAAGTCAAATGGAAATGCACTCAACAACCTTAGTAGGCAGTGAGCCAAACCCATTGTATGCGGGCTGATGATACCACCTAGCTGCTCAAACCTTGGTAAATGGAGCGGGGTTCGGACTTGTGGCTCATTTGTTGACAGTCATCTCTATAAACTAGCAAGCTGCAGCCCCCACCAAAGAGCTAAATACTTAAATTTCACTGTCCATAGGCGTAATTTCAGGCTGGGATCTATCATGCAGTTGAAGAGGAATTTCAGTAGTAGGAACATCCCACAAATGTAAAGATTTCAGACGAGAACAAATTATAAACTTGTGGAAGACTACAAAAGTGAAGAGGAGGAAATAGAAAAACTCATCAAAGCATTAGCAAACAATGATCATTCGCTGATATTTATTAATTGTAATTGAAATGGTTAACAAAGAAGATTCATTGTTCAGTCAATTCCAAAGAAAGATGTCTGGATCACGCTACCATATATAGCTGATTTGCTGAGCCTGACAAGCAAATAAGAGCTTGAGACAACCATACGCAGCAGAGGTCAACTTCATGGGGATAAGGAAATTTACTTACTCATGTAAGTCATTGCATCGTTCGAATCCAGTTATCCTTTTGACGCAGCCGACAGATGTTCAACTTCGTCCATAGCTGAACATATCATTGGAACGGAACACATAGTTGGTTTGTATGCACCTTCCAAAACTATCAGGATACATATTTGCGTTTGTTAAAGCTCTAACTACATGGAAGCTTGGACCTCTTTGATGTATCCAAAAACAGTTTGTTGTTGCATGAATCATATCCCTTGGTAACTCATCTTATATAC